CCCCGGCTACATAGATCGTGTAGACAAAATTAAATGTCCTCACCCCTTCCAAAATGAATGCTCCAAACCCACTCATTTCTGGTGGGATTCCATGGACAGGTACATGCTCTGCGACAGTGGTAACTTTTAAGAAAAGACAAGCCATTACAGACCCAACCAGTTGTGAAATCTAGTATAAAATAGCCATAGGAACACTAATATGACCCCTAACTGCCTACCCGAATGTGGCTGCCGAGTTCACATGACTGCCGAACATGTTAGCCGCTGCATAATCCGCCATCGACAATGCAAACGCATTTGCTACCACAACCGCTACAATCACAGACGGATCTGTTGTAGTAATCAACGGAGCCAACTACAGGAAAGATGAAGAGGAAGGTGGAGATGAATTCGGTGTGGTATGAATTGAGAGCAATGGGCTCATTGCGTGCTTGAGATAGGAAGTTAGCGACGCCATTGCCTGATATGAGGAACAGGACACGACGTCATAAAATTGTTTCATTATATAGATGATCTCTGATTCCTTATATAGATGATCATAATTTCATTATATAAATCTGTTTCAGTAAATGATCATAATTTTATTATATAGAATATTTTAATTTCTGTTTCCTAATCATTTTTTTTCCTAATTGTTGATTCGTAAAACAAGATTAGATAGATTGTCATAACAATTCTGCAATAGTGAATAAAACAAGATTAGATAGATCGTTGTTTCCTAATCATTTCTGCAATAGCAAATTAAACAAGATTAGATGGACCATAATAACAATTCAACAAGAGTAGAATCATATTCAAACGCACATTTGGATAAAAACAGTACACAACGAATTTTAAAATATATGCATTTTGAATTAAACCAGAATCGAGAATTTTAACGCATGAAACATACTTTTCGAAATAATACTCCACAAGAGGTCCATTGATAATTATATGAATATCATAATCACCACCATAATAAATATTAAAAGTTCACAAACTCTATAAAACTCTATTGGAATTCTTGACATAACATTGTAATTAAATGGATCAAAAAATAACACATATCACATAATATTTCAAAAAAATTAATGACAACATGTGATGTCATAAAACCTCATCGCAAATTAAATAAAAATGCTAAAATTAATACAGTGTCAGTAAATCTGTTTCCTTATATAGATGTTCATAATTTCATTATATAAATCTGTTTCAATAAATGATAATAATTTCATTATATAGAATATTTTAATTTGTGTTTTCTAATCATTTCTGTTTCCTAATTGTTGATTCGTAAAAATCTGTGCTAGTGAAATAAATTCGTACATCTATAATACAGAGTAAATAAATAAGTTTCATTATATAGATGATCTCTGTTTCCTTATATAGATAATCATAATTTCATTATATAAATCTATTTCAATAAATGGCTATAATTTTATTATATCGAATATTTTAACTTTTGTTACCCAAAAAAAATTAAAATAAAATAAAATCAACATTTTCCTGCATTTAATTAAACCCCAACTCCATCTGCTATGCCAGTTACTTGAACCGGAAATACCACATTATCATATAGGATACCAGCAAGAGCTGCACCAATCAAAGGTCTGACCAAATAGACTACATGGTTCTTGAAACTTCCTCCAACAAGAGCAAACCCAAACGAGTAAGCCGGGTTCATTAACCCATCCAAAAATGACCCGAATGCCAATACATTGGCTCCTGCAATGAACCCGATTCCTAAGGGTCCAATTGCTCCCAATGCACTATGACCTGGGTCCCTGGCTACATAGACCGTGTAGACCAAACCAAATGTCATCACCCCTTCCAAAATGGATGCTCCTAACCCAGTCATTTCTTGTGGGATTCAATGGAGAGGTACATGTCGTACGATGGTGATAACTTTTAAGAAAAGACAAGCCATTATAGACCCAACCAACTGTGAAATCTAGTATAAAATAGCCATTAGAACACCAATATGACTACTAACTGCCATCCCGAATGTGGCCGCTGGGTTTGCATGGCCGATGGAGATATTAGCCATGGCATAAACCGCCACCGACAAGGAAAACACATTTGCTACCATAACCGTTCCAAGCGCAGATAAATCTGTTGCAAAATCTGGCATCATCCTCCAAGAAGACATGGTGGAGCCAACTGTGGCAAAGACGAAGAGGAAGGTGGAGATGAATTCGACGAGGTATGATCTGAGTGCATTAGGCTTCACCGCGTGCTCGAGACGGGAATTTGGCGACGTCATTGCCTGATACGAGAAAGAAGACACAACTTAGTCAATATGTTTCAATATATTGATGATCTCTGTTTCCTTAAATAGATGATCATAATTTCATTATACAAATCTGTTTGAATAAATGATCATAATTTCATTATAAAGAATATTTTAATTTTTGTTTTGTAATCATTTCTGCTTCCTAATTGTTGATTCGTAAAACAAGATTAGATAGATTGCAATAAGAATTCCGCAATAGTGAATAAAACAAGATTAGACAGATTGTTGTTTTCTAATTATTGTTTCCTAATCATTTCGGCAATAGAGAATTAAATAATATTAGATGGATTGTAATAACAATTCAAGATGAGTGGAATCATATTCAAACACACATTCAGGTAAAAACAGTACACAACAAATTTTAAAATATATGCATTTTGTATTAAACCAAAATCGAGAATTATTACACATGAAATATAGTTTTCGAAATAATACACCACAAGAGGTCCATTGATAATTATATGAATATCATAATCACCACCATATTAAATATTAAAAGTTCACAAACTTTATAAAAGTCTATTTAAATTCTTGACATACCACTGTAATCAAATGAATAAAAAATAAACACATATCACATAATATTTGATAAAAAAATTCAAGACAACATATGATGTCATAAAACCTCATTGCAAATTAATTAAAAATGCTTAAATTAATACAGTGTCCATAAACATGTTTCCTTATATAGATGTTCATAATTTCATTATATAAACTTGTTTCTATAAATGATAATAATTTCATTATATAGAATATTTTAATTTATGTTTCCTAATTATTGATTCGTAAAAATCTTTGAAATAAATTCGTAGATCTATAATACAGAGTAAATAAATATGTTTCATTATATAGATGATCTTTGTTTCCATATATAGATAATCATAATTTCATTATATAAATCTTTTTCAATAAATGATCGTAATTTTATTATATAGAATATTTTAATTTTTGTTACAAAAATGAAAATAAAATAAAATCAACATTTTCCTGCATTTAGTTAAACCCCAACTCCATCTGCTATGTTGGGTTCTGGAACCGAAAATACCACATTATCATATAGGATACCAGGAAGACCAGCACCGATCAAAGGTCCAACCTAATAGACTACATGGTTCTTGAAACTCCCTCCAACAAGAGCAAACCTGAAGGAGTAAGCCGCGTTCATTGACCCATCCATAAATGGCCCGGATTCCAATACATTGGCTCCTACAATGTACTCGATTGCTAAGGGTCCAATTGCTCCCAGTGGACCACATCTCGGGTCCCTGGCTACATAGACCATGTAGACCAAGCCAAATGTCATCACCCATTCCAAAATGGATGCTTCGAACCCAGTCATTTCTTATGGGATTCCATGGACATGTACATGCTGTGCGAAAGTGGTAACTTTTAAGAAAAGACAAGTCGTTACAGACCCAACCAACTGTGAAATCTAGCAAAAGATAGCCATAGGAACACTAATATGACCGCTAACCGCCATCCCGAACATGGCTGTCGGGTTCACATGGCCGTTGGACATATTAGCCGCTGCATAAACCGCCACCAACAATGCAAATGCATTCGCTATCGCAACCACTACAAGCGCAGATGGATCTATTGCAGCATCCGACATCATCTTCCAAGAAGACATGGTAGAGAGAGCTGTGGCAAAGACGAAGAGGAAGGTGGAGATGAAATCAGCGAGGTATGATCTGAGAGCATTGGGCTTCATCACGTGCTTGAGGCGGGATGTTAGCGACATCATTGCATGATATGAGAAAGAATACATGACTTAATAAATTTGTTTCATTTTATAGATGATCGTAATTTCGTTATATAAATCTATTTCAATAAATGATCATAATTTCATTATATGGAATATTTTAATTTCTGTTTCCTAATCATTTCTGTTTCCTAATTGTTGATTCGTTAAACAAGATTAGATAGATTGTAAAAACAATTCTGCAATAGTCAATAAAACAAGATTCGATAGATTGTTGTTTCCTAATTATTGTTACCTAATCAATTCTGCAATAGTGAATAAAACAAGATTAGATTGATTGTAACAACAATTCAACACGAGGACAATCATATTCAAACACTGATTCGGGTGAAAACAGCACACACAAAATTTTAATATATATGCATTTTGTATTAAAGCATAATCGTGAATTTTTACGCATGAAATATACTTTTCGAAAAAATACCCCACAAGAGATGCATTGATAATTACACGAATATCATAATCACCACCGTAATTTAATTAAAAGTTCGCAAACTTGATGAAACTCTATTTAAATTTTTGACGTAACAATGGAATTAAATCAATCAAAAAATAACACATATCACATAATATTTGATAAAACATTCATGACAACATTTGATGTCATAAAACCTCATTGCAAATTAAGTAAAAATTTCAAAATTAATATAGTGTCAATAAATCTGTTTCAATAAATGATCATAATTTCACTATATAGAATATTTTAATTTCAATTTCCTAATCATTTATGTTTCCTAAATGTTGATTCGTAAAAATCTGTGCTACTAAAATAAATTCACACATCAATAATATAGAGTAAATAAATATGTTTCATTATATAGATGATCTTTATTTCCTTATATAGATGATCATAATTTCATTATATAAATTTGTTTCAATAAATGATCATAATTTCATTATATAGAATATTTTAATATCTGTTTCCCAAAATAAAGTAAAACAAAATCAACATTTTCCTGCATTTAATTAAACCCCAAGTCCATCTGTTATGCCGAATACTTGGACCGGAAAGACCAGATTATTATATAGGATACCAGCAAGAGCAGCACCGATCACAGGTCCGACCCAATAGACTACATGGTTCTTGAAACTCGCTCCAACAAGAGAGCACCCGAACGAGTACGTCAAGTTCATTGACCCATTCGTAAATGGCCCAGATGCTAATACATTGGCTCCTACAATGAACCCGATTCCTAAGGGTCCAATTGCTCCAAATGGACCATGTCTTAGGTTCCTGGCTACATAGACCGTGTAGACCAAACCAAATGTCATAACCCCTTCCAAAATGAATGCTACGAACCCAGTCATTTCTTGTGGGATTCTATAGAGAGGTAGATGCTGTGCGACGATAATAACTTTTAAGAAAAGACAAGCCATTGCAGACCCAACCAACTGTGAAATCCTGTATAAAATAACTATTGGAACACTAATATGACTGCTAACTGCCATCCTGAATGTGGCCACCGGGTTCATATGGCCGCTGCAGATATTAGCCATTGCATAAACCGCCACCGACAATGCAAACACATTTGCTACCTCAATCGCTACATGCGCAGATAGATCCGTTGCAGCATCTGTCATTATCCTCCTAGAAGACATGGCAGAGCTAACTGCGGCAAAGACGAAGAGGAAGGTGGAGATGAATTCGATGAGGTATGATCTGAGAGCATTGGGTATCACCGCGTGCTCGAGACGGGAATTTGGCGGCACCATTGCCTGATACGAGAAAGAAGACACGATTTAGTCAATATGTTTCAATATATAGATGATCACAATTGCATTATACAAATTTGTTTGAATAAATGATCATAATTTCATTATAAAGAATATTTTAATTTCTGTTTTCTAATCATTTCTGTTTCCTAATTGTTGATTCGTAAAACAAGATTAGATAGATTGTAATAACAATTCCGCAATAGTGAATAAAACAAGATTAGATAGATTGTTGTTTTCCAATTATTGTTTCCTAATCATTTCGGCAATAGTGAATTAAATAATATTAGATGGATTGTAATAAAAATTCAAGATGAGTAGAATCATATTCAAACACACATTCAGGTAAAAACAGTACACAACAAATTTTAAAATAGATGCATTTATTATTAAACCCAAATTGGGAATTTTCACACATGAAATATAGTTTTTGAAATAATACTCCACAAGAGGTCCATTGATAATTATACGAATATCATAATTCCCACCATAATAAATATTAAAAGTTCACAAACTTTATAAAAGTCTATTTAAATTCTTGACATAACACTGTAATCAAATGAATCAAAAAATAACACATATCACATAATATTTCAAAAAAAATTCATGACAACATATGATGTCATAAAACCTCATTGCAAATTAATTAAAAATGCTAAAATTAATACAGTGCCAATAAATCTGTTTCCTTAAATAGATGTTCATAATTTCATTATATAAACCTGTTTCTATAAATTATAATAATTTCATTATATAGAATATTTTAATTTCTGTTGCCTAATCATTTTTGTTTCCTAATTGTTGATTCGTAAAAATCTGTGAAATAAATTCGTACATCTATAATACAGAGCAGATAAATATGTTTCATTATATAGATGATCTCTGTTTCCTTATATTGATAATCATAATTACATTATATAAATCTATTTCAATAAATGATCGTAATTTTGTTGTATATAGTATTTTAATTTTTGTTACAAAAAAGAAAATAAAATAAAAACAACATTTTCCTGCATTTTATTAAACCCTAACTCCTTCTGCTATGCTGGGTGCTGGAACCGAAAAGACCACATTATCATATAGGATACCAGCAAGAGCAGCACCGATCAAAGGTCCGACCCAATAGACTACATGGTTCTTGAAACTCCCTCCAACAAGAGCAAACTCGGAGGAGTAAGTCGCGTTCATTGACCCACTCATAAATGGCCCGAATGCCAATACATTGGCTCTTACAATGAACTCGATTGCTAAGGGTCCAATTGCTCCCAATGGACCACATCTTGGCTCCCTGGCTACATAGACCGTGTAGACCAAACCAAATGTCATCACCCAATGCAAAATGGATGCTCCGAACCCAGTCATTTCTTGTGGGATTCCACGGACAGTTACATGTTGTGCAGTAGTGGTAACTTTTAAGAAAAGACAAGCCATTACAGACCCAAGCAACTGCAAAATCCAGTAAAAAATAGCCATAAGAACACTAATATGACCGCTAACCGCCATCCCGAACGTGGTCGCTGGACATATTAGCCGCTACATAAACCACCACCGACAATGCAAATACATTCGCTACCGCAACCGCTACAAGTGCAGACGGATATATTGCAGCATCCGGCATCATCTTCCTAGAAGACATGGTGGAGAGGACTGCGGCAAAGACGAAGAGGAAGGTGGAGATGAATTCGGCGAGCTATGATCGGAGAGCGTTGGGCTTCATCGCGTGCTCGAGGCGGGATGTTAGCGACACCATTGCATGATATGAGAAAGAAGACACGACTTAATAACTTTTTTTTCATTTTATAGATGATCTCTGTTTCCTTATATAGATGATCATAATTTCGTTATATAAATCTATTTTAATAAATGATCATAATTTCATTATATAGAATATTTTAATTTCTGTTTCCTAGTCATTTCTATTTCCTAATTGTTGATTTGTAAAACAAGATTACATAGATTGTAATAACAATTCTGCAATAGTCAATAAAACAAGATTAGATAGATTGTTGTTTCCTAATTGTTGTTACCAAATCAATTCTGCAATAGCGAATAAAACAAGATTAGATTGATTGTAACAACAATTCAACACAAGTACAATCATATTCAAACACTGATTCGGGTGAAAACAGTACACAACAAATTTTAATATATATGCATTTTGTATTAAAGCTTAATTGAGAATTTTTATGCATGAAATATACTTTTCGAAATAATACCCCATGAGAGATCCATTGATAATTACATGAATATCATAATAACCACCATAATTTAATTAAAAGTTCACAAACTTTATAAAACTCTATTTAAATTTTTGGCGTAACAATGGAATTAAATCAATCAAAAAATAACACATATCACATAATATTTGATAACAAATTCATGACAACATATGATATCATAAAACCTCATTGCAATTAAGTAAAAATTTCAAATTTAATAGAGTGTCATTAAATCTGTTTCCTTATGTAGATGACCATAATTTCTTTATATAAATCTGTTTCAATAAATTATCATAATTTCATTATATAGAATATTTTAATTTCTATTTCCTAATCATTTCTGTTTCCTAAATGTGGATTCGTAAAAATCTGTGCTACTGAAATAAATTCACACATAAATAATACAGAGTAAATAAATATGTTTCATTATGTAGATGATCTCTGTTTCCTTATATAGATGATCATAATTTCATTATATAAATTGGTTTCAATAAATGATCATAATTTCATTATATTGAATATTTTAATATCTGTTTCCCGAAATAACGTAAAACAAAATCAACATTTTCCTGCATTTAATTAAACCCCAACTCCATCTGTTATGCAGGATACTTGGATCGGAAAGACCACATTATCATATAGGATACCAGCAAGAGCAGCACCGATCAAAGGTCTGACCCAATAGACTACATGGTTCTTGAAACTCCCTCTAACAAGAGTAGTCCCGAACAAGTAAGTCGGGTTCGTTGACCCGTCCGCAAATGGCCCGGATGCTAATACATTGGCTCCTACAATAGTGACGATTGGCTCTCTTTTTCCATTTCTTTCTTCGCTTCGTTTCCCGTTTACCTTCGTTGGGTTTGAATGTTTGGAATGGTTTTTAGATTAGAGCTCTATTTCTTTTTCGGTCGGTGTTGAATCTCGGTTGTTCTGAAAGGTGCGCGAGTGAGTCTGGGGTGCTTGGGAGCGAAATGGAAATTTTGGGTTGCTGGGCCAGGGCCGCAATTGCGGGGCCCTAGGCCGCACATGCAGAGTTGGGCCGCATGAGCGGCATGAGGGGCCACTTGAGCAGTGGAGGCTGGCACCCAGAATTTTGCATTCTGAAATCGACGCATGAGCGGGGTAAGTGGGCCGCACGAGCAGTGGGGAAAGCCGCACGAGCGGCCAACTGGGCAGTCTGAAACTCTATTTTTTGTATCTTTCTGGTCCGAATATATCTCTCATTTTGGTGATCTCTCTCTCACTCTAAACCTTATTTTTCTCCCCCTTCTCTCTAGAAAACTCCCTCAAACACCTAAAACACTTGGATTCTTGCAAATCTTGAGTCAAGATCATCAACATCTTCCTCTAAATCTTGAAGATCTAGAGCTAGTGTCACTCTTGGTGTGGTAGAGATTGAAGGATCTTCCATCAAAAGCTAGGGTTCCATCTTCTCTTCATCATCAACACCTTGAGGTTGGGATTTCTTAAGTTATATATACATGTTATGTAAGATTTATGATGATTTAAAAGCCTTCCTGAACTAGTTGTGTTGATTTTGGGTTTTACTCCAAATGTTGAGGAAGTTTGAAGAAAATGGGTTTGATCTTCATCATTTTCCTATCCACAAGGATGTTCTTTTACAAAATTTAAGAACAACATAATTTTGATTGGGTTCTCACCATCAAGTGAAGAAATGTTGAGTTTTTGATAAAAACCCTAGAAATTGGGGATTTTCTTAAAATGTAGAAAGGCCTATGGAAGTGTAGACACCCCATTTTTGACCGTCCTCAAGACTTGGACGTCACCGTTTGAACACTCGGTGATTATCCATGTTTGTGTTCGTTTGGAGTTCCCGGAGGTCTCGGCTCACGCGCCTTGCTCAAGATCTCTCGACTCGACTGTTTTGTGTC